CTGGAAATCAATCTCGCTTTCCTACGTTCGCTTATTAACAATCCCAATGGCAGCTCACGGACCCCTGTTTCCGACTCATCCAACACTTCGTACCCATACGTCGTAGACCCCACTCCATTATCCTGCAAAGAACGCAAAGTAGTATGCGCTACAGATTCTACCGCTACAGATACGCACATGTGTGGAATAGGTTACCTCTAACTATAAAGGCATCTATGAATACAAACCGGTTCCGCTTCTCTTTAAGCAAATACCTCTGTCACACAAGTTTCCATTGCTACTGAGTATTAACTGTCCAGAAGACGAGTTGCTTGAAAACGGACCAGACCACTTATAATGGCCTTTTCTTACCCTTCCGCAACATTTCCTTCCGCAATCCTCTGATTTCTATCTGCCTGCTTCCTCCAACAACCCCTTCGTCTTCCCTCAAATACGGATCAGCCACCGGATACCGAATGCTGCTGCATTCCCTCAAACCTCCTACAAACGACTGGCTGGAGACATCCGCCTCTGGCTCTGCGCATCAACGTAACTGGCTACCATCTATTTGGTGAAGCAGGCGTGCACTCAACCTTCGGAATTTCCACTTTCTTACAGGCTTTTAGCTTAGCTGTGTTTCATCCTAAAGGCTTCTACTAAGCTTGTGACGCAGCATCGCACACAACCATCTCACTTGGCGTCATTTTGGTGCTTTTGTCTTATGCTTGAGGTCTCTGTCACATTCCCATTTTTATCTGCTTAAGGATGCTGCATGTTACTGTATGCTGCCTATAAACTCCATGTTTCACCTTAGTGTGGCCGCAAAGTCTCGAAAAGGCACCTAGCCGGAGACCCATTCCCTTTTCATCGCTATAAGCCACTTTTCTTATCTTGGCCGCCCATGTATCATTTATCTTTTAGCTGGCTCTAAAGCCTACCATGCGTTATGCGTAATGGTGGGTGAACGACCAGCTCCCACTGGTTTTTGTTACTATTCTACTCCTGATTTACCTTATCGCTCTTTGCTTCGGGTGCTAGAACAGCTCTGGCCAGGAAAATCACAAAAGAAATAGTCGGTGTGACATTAGAGTACCAGTTAACATTGCCATCTGGATGAACACCGCCGGCACTATCTTCGGACTTAAAGATGGAGAGAAATAAATCGAAATTCATCAAAGAGCTGCACAATAGTGTGCATCTACACACGAGGCATAACAATAACTCAAGTGTGAGCAAGCTTAACCACCAGAAGTAGAGCTGTTAAAGCCCAACCAATGTAGACCAAAACGGATTTCACGCCCAAATGCAATCAGCTAAATTTTACTAAATTTTTCCATAGTCTTATTTTCTATTATTATGGTGACAGGCGCCTGTAGCTCACTGATGTTAGTGACAGAGCCTCACTGAAATATAGAATCGGCTCATAAGGGTATAAATCTTGTGGAATGTTAGCCTAAGTAAAGTGAGTGTATATTGCCAGGCAGAAATCTGTCTAGCGGATCTGAAAGATC